TATTCCGCACACTGTCTTTCTCCAATGATACCAATTGTTTTGGTCACTCAAAGGGAAACGGTGCGGAGCCCAAAATCAGTTTGGACTCCTGCGTGCAGTGCAGTCTTGGCTGGGGTGACTGGCCGGCCTTTGGTTGTAAACAAGTCGCCCGTTCTTGCTGTGTTCTCTCCTCGGCTCGTTGAGAGGGCTCAGGGGTTCTCTGTGTCGCTGCCTTTAATTGAAAGTGAAATTGATCGTCTCCGTCAAAAATGGGAAAATGTCTAACCTCGTGTTCTGTGCTGTATGTGATTGACATTTAAGCAAAATGCCCATTCGGGTGTTTGTAACTCAAAACAGGAATTTTTTTAATGTACAGTTGGAAAAGAAATAATGGTAAGTTAACCGGAAGGGGCACAAATAGTTTAGAAGCATCCCTTAAGCAAACTTTTGCATTCAGTGAGAATTCTTTGCCCTTGTTGCATCTTGCCATAATGTATTACTTAAGCAACAATTAAAGTTGGAGAAGTTAGCGGAACAAACTAACTTTCTACGTTTTACGTATATTTTTTGTTTGTTGCCCAGCTCATCGACCAAAAATACTGGTTTGCCCAGCATCAGAATTGTTAATGTATTTGAGCTACCGTACTCTGCTCCCCCCACCAGAAAAAAGGGGGGTTTTCCCCTTTCTCCGTAAAAATTTCTGGTGATGCCCATGAGTGTGACAAATATGTCACACTGATAGAGTTAAGAAGCAGAAGCTGTTAACTCCAACGTAAAATGCGGATTCGCTTATCGGAAAAGTTTGTCATGTTGACAAGATGAAAGTTGTTTCGCCTGAGTCTCTTACGACAAAAATTCACTTGTCACAGGGATAGGTTTTCAGAGCTGTCGAAGAGCGTGGGGAAAAATACCATCCTTGCTCCGATGGGATTCGAGCCAACGATCTCTCCACCATGGCAAACGTCTCACTATTCGACCATCGAGCTAATGGAGCATGGATCGTTGAGTTTACAAATAAATGGATTGGGCAGCGGACGCGGCAGTTAACGGCATAACTGTTAATGGGATGTTGTTCACTAACATTATGTTGTCAATAAAACAAGGGCTAGCTTTTCTTGTCACGACCAGAACTCAACTTATCGACTTTTTTTCAGCGTGATTATCTTGTCACCTGGCTCTGTGCATTTACGAATATCTTTGCAGAATCTTGTATAACAAACGTAACTGGTTGTGTTCTACTAACAATACGACAGTTCCTATCACTTTGATTGGAACCCACATATCGAATATTTTCAGTGTTTAATTTAAAGCTTTCGTCCACAATCTGATTCAGCTGTGATTGCGTTCCCGATTTGTAGGGCGGCAATCAACATGGACATATAATTCACTCCTGATGAATATTTATATTCAGTGCGAAAGTTTATCGAAAAATAAACAAGACCGCAGGGTTCTTTTTGATTAAAGCTCCGGGCCGCACCAGAGCTAAAAGGTCAGCCAGTAAAAGCACGTGGCCGATAAAAATCAGTGCCCGTTCCCTTTTGAAGGGTATGTCAATAATCAGTGTAAAACGACTTTAACACCCCCACTCACCGCTGCGGGATATTTTGGTGATATTTTCAATGGTAGGAGTGAAGGAAATAAATTGCACCCAGTAAAGTATGTCAGTGGGCTAAATTCCCCGATGAAGAAGAAACGATAGCACCAGGGAATGTGATAGATTAGTTCGGGGTGCATTATATATCGTGGTACGGTACCCGAGTGCCTACCGCATTGCAGCAAGTTGTAAACACCCTTCTGGTCAATGAAAAAGTCACTTCGGCACGTGTCCGCCCTGAGCAGAAGCACACCCTCATCGGTTGAAAAAAGTCATATGGCAGAGAGTTCATTGTGTTGGTGGCGATGCGACTGCAACGCTTGCATTTCATAGTCTTTCGTGAACCAGCGATGAGCAGTTGCCACCCACGGAGCCTCGGTTACTAGGAAAATTGCGCCCTCTCTTGGTCCAGCCCGGGGCCCATACGCGTGCTGTCTACACGAGCTGGCACGTACCACTGCTGTCCTAGCTTTGGAGTGTGGTCTCCTGCATGCGTGTTCGCTTAATCCCAGTTCAAGGGAGTGTAGCAATGCTCCACTGTAGCTACCTGATCTCCCGCAATTTACGTTCAACTGTTTGAACACGTGTTAATTAGGAAAGGCAGTGTTTCAAAATAACCAAAACAGACACTACGGAGACGCCAGCAACGCATAACCTCTGTTATAGTATGCGATGCCTATAAAACATTCAATTCCTGGTAAGGGTGTCACCTCTGGCCCTGTTACGCGCCCCTTTCATTTACCGTCGCAACCACGCTCTGTCGAGAGTCGTTATTAAGCGTAACTTTTCCACGGCCTTTCGCTGTATACTCAAAGTACGACATGTTGTGTACCCAGACCCTCATACATGTGTTAATGAGTCAGCATTATCGCCAGCAGCTAATTTCGAAAACTTTGTCCATTGCTTTTGTATGTGTTGGAACGAATTCTTGTGGAAACATTTTTAAACTAACCAATTCAAACTTCAATCGTGTAAACATTCAAAGCCAACTCCATTTCTTTCGGGTCGCTTAAGTGCGGGCAAAGGGTTCGAAAGAGTTATACATGGTGTAGAGATGAAGCGTTAAAATATTTCTTTAATAGGCCTACTCGGTCTTGAAGCCCTTGAGAATGGGGAATCGTCCAACTTAATTTGCACGAAATCCATTAGAGCTAAACCATACCACATCGAAACCGAATTAGGTAGCGCAGAGACTACATGGCTTGTACCACCGTGAACCAATACAATTTGTTTATTACGGGCGACCACAGCCACCAGGACTTCCGCCTGTTGCTTCACCGGGTGCCAGTCTCCGTCAGACGCCGACAAACATTTGTTTTCTTTTTTTTTCCTCGTTGATGCTTTACTCCGGATGCAAGCCCCCCCCCTCCATCCCATGAGAGCGCTTTCTCGCTCGGATGGTTTTTGTGGCGGTATAGTTGCCTCAGCGTCCGACGCCTGTCGCGGCTTTCGTGCTGGCTTTTGCCCCCAGTCTGTGTTTGAACTGTCTCGGCCGATCATGCGGTTTATAAGCAAGGATCGATGCAGATATCATTTGGGGGATCTAGGCCTTCAAAACCGTCCATCGTGTGCTTGTAGCAGGGATGATAGTGCGATGAAATCTCAGTGAATCTCTAAAGGGAAGATTCAGTGGGGAATATCGCATCATTGTATTCATTCCCATTGATTTCTGCGTCTAAAAAAAGTTCGGTAAAAAGAGTGTGGTTTCTTTTGGTTGGACCAGTCTGTTTGCTCATCGTTCCGATCCGTTGAAAGTGTTCAAAGACCAAGAGCTTAATATCTATTTTCGGCCTGGCTGGTTACGCAAGCACGTTTGCGCACGGTGCAATGGAGAAAAAAGTTTCGCAAGTACAACGTTAGTGTCCATGGAAAATACCGACTGTTTGGATGGAGCTGTCACTGTGTTAAATATCTGAGAATAAACTCATAAAACTAGTGCCGTAGACGGAGGCAAAGCTGATATTGAAAGAGTGGAGTCAATTTAATTTACGGGCGCATATTTTCCAATGTTATTATTTAGACAGTCAGCCTATAGCAAAGGGACAATCGTTGCTTGTCTTCATTCGTGATTTCCGGGTTAACGTTCCGCTTCTACAGACAATACAAACATTGCCGAGAGTTCGTGAACCAACTGTGTTCATCTTACCTGCGCAATATACCCTCCACCCCCAGTCGGCTTAAAGGAACCAGGAAATGAATTTTTCTTGGAATCATTTTTGTGTATCTCTGTACTCTTCTTCCATGTGTGAAGACCGTTTGAACATCTTCTTTGAGTTACGTGAACTGAACTGTGCACTTTTTCAAACATTAAAAACTGACTAAGCATTTCTGGACAAGTGAGGGCGCATTTGCTTTTATGTAAATCCAGGAAGACATGGTTCAGGTTGCTTGTTTTCATGTTCAAATTGTGAACCCCCAATTTGCTATCTTGGAACATTTCTGTGAAAAGGATTTTTGCTGGATTATTGCCTTATACTTACACAGCAATAAATTGCCAAAGAAAATGAAATTTGCCAAAGAAGTGATTAAAAAATCTAGAAATTTTCTGTGCACAAATCAGTGCAACATGGAGATTAAGTGCCTTGGGTGACCTCATAGGTCTGCTCATGAACATGCAAATACTTATTAGCATAAAACAAAAAGCATTAAAAAAAGCATCAAAAAAAGTTTCTATTTCCTGGTTCCTTAAATTTGCTGTATGCGTTACTGGGCTACATACCCGATTACAGCTCGGCGTTTTGCAGCTTGTTGGCTGACAAATTGTCGGTTTGATGTTTACTGGGTTGCTGGGCAGGTTATTTAATTGGTTGAAGAAAAGGGCAAAACAACACATCTGTTTTCAGTACCATGATCGTCACTTTACTCCCACTGAAACACTTTCCAAGTCAGAAACATACTGTTTGACTGTGTAAAAACATATTGTATGACTGTGTAATACGTATCTTTTGTGGGGCGGGCCTGACTGTATGGCCCCCATTTTCTTCTTTTGTTGTCGTCGTTGTCGTTTCTGCTGCTGCTGGTTTTCCTTGTATTGAGATGGAAACAAGAACCTGCTCTGCTGACACACGTGGTTTCCAATAAATGTCGAGAGCAATAGTTATGTCTTTTAAAAATACTTTTGAACACCTTCAGCGAAGGATGTTTTGTTCATGTGTTGGATTGTGATCGTTGCGACTGTTTTGTGGCCAAATTGATAACAGTTTGTAGAAACCGCTATGTTCAAATTATCGTTTCATTTATTTTTTTTACAATATTTATAATACATCAATTGAAGTAGCACCCACTGCATGCACAGTGTTCATGTTACGATTTCCACAAAAATATATTATTTTTCCTCACATATAAATTAAAAACTACGCATCCGCCAAAAGGTCGGATATATGGATTAAATTACTAATAATTACTGATGATAACCTTTAGTGGCATATTTCAACAAAATATAAGCGTTTATTAAAGTGAAAGCGAAAGTCAAGATAAAAAGTTGTCCCAACCACATCCGAATGTGCGAAGCGAAATCAAAACTGGAGGTACATATTACATAGAGTTATTCTACGAGTGACAGACATTCTCAAGTGATACATGTAAACTGAAGGATTTGTGCTGTATATAAGCGACAAGCCACGGTCACTGCCAGTGCTTTCTGAAAATTTGCTGCTCAGCAAAGTGGCTTTTGTTTTGCGAGATGACTTTCACGTGGCACTTGCTTGACTAGCTAGCTATGCAGGCAATGGTACAAACACCTTGCAGCAGCCTAGCCTTCCAGAGCTACAGTGCAACGGGCCCTTAATCTTAACATAGTATGAGCAATAGCTTAAACGTCTTGGAGTTTTAGCACTATCTTTACAAAGTCGCAATGCGTCAGTGATGTCTAGATGCCAAATCTTACATATATGCTACCTAAACACAAGACATGTTTGATCTGAAAAGTCACATCTCGTCTTCACCTGTAGGCAAATTTGAGAAGACGCCATTCCTGCGGGGACATCGCACTCACTCGCATGTCGTAACCTGAGTGCGCACGCGCGCGCTTTGGCAAGTAACCATACCCGTACTGGTCGGAGAGTAGTGTAACGCGCGCGTGCCAACTGCGTGCAAACGGGATGACTCCCCAGTAATGACTTCTAATTCCTTTCGCAGGATTTTTCTAAAAACAGATCGGCTTCGTTGTAACAATGTGTGTGTCAGAGGTCCAAGTCTTGTAATCGATTGTCTTTACCAGTGGCACTCGTTCTTTACTGTGATCATTTTTCCTCTTTTTTTGTCAGAAAGCATTATTGCACAAAATGTATTTTACCACTGGATAGCCATTGTGTTGAACGTAACGGAAAAGGAGCAGGTGATGCTCTAGAAATTGAGTTGAACGTTGGATATCTAAATTCCAACCTCCCCGGTAAGCCTACACCATTTTTCCCTCGATTGAATCGAGCATTCCTGTATTATGAGACGTTTGTTTTATCAATGAAACTTCAGTTGAAGCCAAATAGGGATTACACTGCTTGCATCTTGGCACTAATGTAGATTTTTCCCACTGCATTTACGAGCTCATATTTTAGAAATGGGTTGTATTTTAGCCTTAAAGGTCGAACCGAAAACATCTCATATCTCTCAACCCGCAAATCTATTCACTCTCTTAGACCACGAGCCAGGGGAGTAAAACTTGGGGAATGGGGTATATCCTCCACAATTTTCGAACAGGGGGGTGGGCTGTTAGATTACTCCGTGCGCATACTTTTCGGGTTTAAACAAAAACAGATCGTGAGTTGTGTTAGGACTTCCCAAGAAACAAACTGTATTCAGTGGTACCGAAAAAAGGAGAAAAAGTAAAAATAGTATTCATAAGACGTATACCAGTATCATTACCAACGCCCCTAGTGACACGTGATGTCCAGCCCCCCCCCCTTGCCATTCGAATTTCCACGGCCGGACACTTTTTTTAATTTCAGTCATCTCCTATCCTCCCAGTCCGTGGCACTGATTTACGCCACTGCCGGAAGCTGACTAACCAGCCTAATGCCCTCGCCTTCTATGACTACGGCTGCGCGTTACTTGATTAACTCGATGATAATGATCTTTTCATCAGTTCTTGATATTACCACCGCAAGTGTTTTAAACGTGTGTTTGTTTTGTTTGTTCTTTGCATGCGTCGAATGAATGGATAACAGTTAAATTCGTAAAGCCGCACTTCGGATAACTGCATTCGTCAAAAACCACAAATGTAAAGACAGGCTTCGTGCTTTTGTCCCACTTTTGGGAGTAGTTGATGGTCACAGTACTGACGCAAAAAAAGTTATTAACATGGCCATAAAAGGCCTAAAGACGTCGGCTGTTATTTTCTAAAACACGTGAATGTCCATCCCAAACACTGAGAGATTGAAAACGTTTGCTTGGTTTGGGTTACAGATGAAAGGGTTTTTATGATATCACAGATCGAATGTCCGTAGTTGTTCTTGGAGTCCCGTCCTGGTATAAGCTTCTACTGAAAGTATTTTCAAGATTCTCTGGTGTCCAACTTTATTGTAGAAGGTCCTCTAGCCTCGTTTCGCTTGGCACTCCAGACCCTCCGTGGCACGGTCGACATGTGCAAGACATGGCCACTTTCACTTCCACCACCTTTGTGCTGGGGAAGAGCTCTGGGCAGTTGAGGCGGACCCCGCGCATCATGTGGTCCGACTCCTGGCAGCACTGGCATGACCGCTCCATCCGGGTGTAGTCCGTGGGCGAAACCCGAGAGTAGGAGGTGCAGGTGCCCCGGCAGCCAAAGGAGGGAACCCTCCGCAGTGTGCACCCCTCGTGATCGATGAGGTGGATCAGCGCCTGTCGCCGACAGGTGGCCGAGCACTGGCTGATCAGGCCAGAGAGCAGGAGGGCTATGAGGGCGCACTTCACCATCACCGTCGCGGAGGTGTTCGTACTCGGATGAGACGGCTCCATGGGTCGCCCTGTCGAAAGCTGCGAGCGAGAAAATGTTGGAGGGAAAGAAAAACGCACATTTTGACATGACCTTTAAGGTGGAGGCAGAACTGAGAAGTGGTAATTTTGTTTTCTTCTTTTTTTTAAGCTGATGATGACCAGCAACTCAAGATCAAAATGTCAAACTACGCCTTGGGTATCCTTGGAGGCATGATGCAACAACAAGTTTTTTTTCTGGTTGTAGATTGCAACAGAAATCGATTGTCATTCAAATCTTAAGAAGCCTTCAATCTACAAAGCCCTTAATCCCAAAGGCCCACTGGCTATTGCAAACTTTCAGTTGTGTTGAAGTTACAGAGACCTATGGTTCTGAAAGATGACATTTATTGGATCAAGGAGTGTCTCTTGGGGGAAACTGAGGTGAGCTTGAGCTAAATAATCATCATGCCCCGAACGATGCTGCAAGCCTTACCGGCTTAGGTACCAGCCTGCAGGAGCAACGAGACGCACTAGTAATTCTTATTCAAATAATCGTCTTTTTAAGTGTTTTTGAGAGACTCCTCTCAGTTGTGATGAGCAAAATCTAGGCCGGAAGAAGACATCAAATTCGATGGTAGATATTCTATCGAGGAATGTTTCTAAACAAGCTCGGAAGAAGCATGAACCATGCGTAGGCAGCGTTTATCATCAACAGTGGTTTGAAAATCGAAGAATTTAATTTGTTTAGAAAATGGCGTATCCCGCCACCCTCAACTAACCTGCATTTTTTGGCAGTGAATTCGAAAAAAGATCACTGGTTACTGTTGACGTTGATTGATGAGATTCCCAAATTCTGATTCGCATATTTTTCCTTGGATATCACACAGGCCTACCGAATAACGAACACTACAGTATTGCTTTATCAACACACTTGGTGAACATTAAAGGTAATGTTGTATTCATCCTACGGGTATACTTGTTCACAATAATGCTGTACTTTCTGTTAATGTTTTCCCTTGGAAGTCTGTATATAATCAGATTATACACGCAGCTTATTGGCTTGCTTGGTACCGATAAGTATTTTGATTTCTTCTTCTGTACTTCTGCAAGTGAAGTAGAAACGCGCATCATATTACGTAACGGCGTTGCGTTCGTGAAATTCCACTTTCACTTTCGTGACTTTATTACGGAATTATCCACCAGAGATCTCGTTAAACCAGAAGCCAACTGAAACTTGATAGCTTACCTTTCCAAGGGTCTTTGAATAGAACGAGGCTGTTGGACGCACGATGTAAAGGAATCCGCCGGAAATGCTTTTTATCGTTTGAAACCGAAACCGCTGCAGATGTCTTTTGCTTAGGGCTGAGTTGCAATCCGTGCTGTTTGTGACTATGGAGATCCAACCTTTCCCCGCGTCAGACGTGATGTGTTCTTTGCGCCGCGACTTTTATTGATAGCTCTGCAAGGGCTGGCAGTGTTCCGCAGAATCGTTGATACAGCACTTATCGCTTTGCGTGGAGGTACCAAAAATATGCGACAGCCCACGATCAAGGCCAATATGCTTTTATACCCGCCTATCACGACCACTTTATGAACGAGAGTCACTTACACGGAACATGGTGTCACCTATAGCAACGCGTTCTGCGCAGGTGCAGTGTACGACGCGATTTTTTTTTTTTCATTTGAGCGAGAAAAATTATTACACTCCGCACGAGTTGCGCATGACACTGGCACTGTTTTATTTCCTGCTAACAGTGCGGTCTTTTTTTTTCCATTCGCATTAGGGGGTTAGAAACCACTACGTGAGGGGTTTCGTGGCTCGGCACTGTGAATGTGACGTTTGCGTCCATCTCCTGGGGTGTTGCCGCTTAGTGTAGTACCTCTGATTTCTATTTTGGGGGGTTGATTTTCGATACATTAATCACTTTTTATTCGAGTCAAACAGTGAACCATTTCCTCCAAATAGATTTTCTCCGACGTGGCGGAAATTGTGTTGTTAACAGATTCATACATGACAAATCTCTTTAGGTTTGAAAACGAGAAGTTTGACGGCAAACAATGTCAAAGGCCGACAGGTAGCTTTCTTAAAATATTGACATAGACTGAATGCACTTGGACTTGATTGTGCGGTTAAAACGGAGCTTAAATGATTTCACAGCGACACGCCTTACCAACTCTGACTTAATGAACCATTGCTTCAGTGAATTCGTGTCGTACATGATGCGATGTCGGGCTTCCTTGATTGGGGTTATAGAGCCAACTGTTAATTTAAAGAAGTTGAGAGAAATAAAGAACGTGGGGACATTTGCTCTGTAGATTGCCGCCAGTTGTGAATTGACAGTGAAATGAGATCATAGAAAACTTACTTACTACTATGTGTAAAACACCCACTACGAGCATAATCCTTCAAAATTGAAAACTTTTGGCCAAGTCGATAATTTCACGCATCGCACGTACCCATTGTTTGACAAAAATGTGGCGTTTCCAACTCTTAGGACCACCTTTTCGAAAAGGAAAAAAAACGACATGATCCTCTCACAATGACTAATTTTCTGGGAAAACTAGGTATCGTGTCGATCCGTCCATGGCTGTCCGGGACACGTATAGTCACACACGTCGGTCTACGTGACTTATCGGCCAGCCATCAACCCACGGGCCCGCTGTGATATCATTGGGATTGGACACATGCAGTGTGGTGAATGTAGCACTGGACGCGCCGAGAGTGCTTTGTTGTTGGAAAGGGCGCTTGAACGACCCATTTTCTCAGCGACTGCCATTCGTTTTCTCAACAGAAGTTATTACCGTGAATGAGTTAATAGAGAGCGTGTTGTGTGTCAACCTGAACCCTTGTCTCTTGAAGTTAAAGAATTTTGACCGAGAGTTTAAACAATGACATGCCATCGTTAATGGCTTTAAGTGTACATTGCGAAGTTCTATCACTCACAGACTGCACAAACTCAGTCTTTCGTTTGCCCCCCAACTTGTCATCTTTTCTTTTGACTTCGGTGCTACCGGTACTCTTCTTATTCTCTGGGTTCAGGTTATCCGTTAAACAAACTACACAAGGGATTTTAACTCACTTTCCCCCTGTTCAGTTCCAAGTCATCCATGTCGAGACGAGTGTTCAACTCGTGCGTCTCGGAGCATTAAAGAGGTATCGCAGACAACGGTCTTGGGGACACGACCGCACCTGTTGTCCTCAACCAGGCTTCAGCTCCTTGTCAATTTATCTTGGATTAATGAAACGAAAGTGCAGGTTTTAAGTTTCATTTCTGTCAGGTTTGTTTAGATACGTCATACGGTCCATCTGCTTTATCCAAGCAAAAATATAAAATAAACCTTCTGAGGAGGAACAGTACTTTTCAATAGCCTCTCCTGAACATAAACCAAATATGGGGCTCCATTAAGAGATCCCCCGTCACTAAGCTCTGAAGTACCCGCTGTTTTTCCAATCTTGTTATTTTTAGTGAAGTTGGAGGACCGCAGCACTGAACTCCCAGCAGACCTTCATCATGTCTTTTGGAATTGGCTGCTTGAGTTTGGAGTGTTGGTTTGGATTTCACGAATAATCTTTTTTTCTTCTCTGCCCTCTTTGAGTTTTCCCCAGAGTCTCTCCGCATAATAGGAGAATTGGATGTTGGTTCTCGGGTCCGCCTTGTTCGCGCATTGTGACCCTCTTGGTTAATGTAATACAAAACATGGATATCACGGACCTATTGGCCTCATCAGGACCGTTCTCCCTCAAGTGTTCCTTAAAGGGATTCAGATTTAGTGTTTCGAAATCTGAAGATTGTATGAGGTCATTTGAGTCTGTTTCAAATTTGGCCAAGAGATTGGCCCATTCGATTTGAAACACTGTACATTTGCGTATTTCTGTTATTCACCCATTCTCTGCCGGCTTCACGTAACATTTTCTGGTCTTAACGCCTCCCTTCGTTCCCATATTAATTTAGTCCTCTCTAACTTTGGATGCAAATGAAGAAGATAATCGAGAAAGATGATCCAGGTGTATTAACATCGGTTCTATTGCCATTCAAATCTCGCATCAGGTCCCCGGGTATAACTCTTCTCAGAATTAAATTTCCGAAAAATTTACATCTTGAAAATAAATTTCAGGTATTGTTCCGGCGTGTGACATTGTCTTCCCTCTGTGAATCCCAAGTTCCGGCTGTGTATGTCCCATATCTCTGTCGCCAGTTGGGTTATCACTTGTGATATCCTTAATTGTTGAACGATAGCACGTCATTGGCAAAGAATGGAATGTGAACTTACAACCTTTGGAACACTTCATAAGAGCTCTGATTACACTGCAAAATGTGGTAATTTGACATTTTGGTGTCTGTGCTCTTTGTAGTTGTCAAGTTAAACTACATCGTTTGCAATATAGCGGTTCTGCGAAAGATTTTTCCGCGCAGCAGTTATGCAAATGTAATCCAGTCGTCTATAGTTTGAATCGAATGTAGCACAACCTCTTGCCTTCGTGGAGATGTGACAGTGATAATGTGGTCGTAAGATTCCATAGGTAACTAGAAGCTGGTTACGTCCATTTGAGCACTTCAGAAATAACTACATTACTGTGACGTTTACACAAAATCCATTGATTCCCAAGAGGCTCCTTTTCCCCCGAAGATTTGAATGTCCAACAAGATCATTTCCTGTCAAGGCCGGAGGAACCGAACCTTGTTCCCATATGCTCTACGCTTTAATGGACCGAAGCTGAGAATCCGTACCTTAGAACTGAACCCACTGGGGCTACGTGCCATGTAACAATGCGAGATGGAAAGCGATTATTCCGCAGTTGTGTAACCCAAGGGACTTTCTTTTTTTCTGAAATCCGTCTGTCGATTTTCACATGTATGTCAAAATATCCTTTGGCCCTTTTGATCCTGGAGCGCTTGTGGCGAGCACCGTGCACGTACAGAACGGAAGACTCAAACAAGCGACCAGTGGCGCAGGATTTTGCTGGTGGGGATAGGAAGTAAACGGGCAGTGTAGCCCATGCCAAGAATCAAAAAGTTGAAGAAGACTCACTCTCGCGCAAGTCGTTTTGCATTCATAGTGTGCCGAGTATATCATGAGCTGGGCAGTAGTAATATGGGGTGAAATATGGGTAGAAATCATTCAAGGACAGACCTTTGATTTTCACAACTTTTTTTTTTAAAGAATGCTTTCAACTGATATAATTTTGTGTTTTTATATAGTCTAACAACTGTCCAGGGAATAGTTCCCCCGTTTACTCTTGCATCGTTGATAACTTTATAAATGGTCAAAACATATTGACGACATCCCTGGCCTAACCCGCTCACGGCTTTTTCCTGGCATCTACTTCGAAGTTGTGGAACATCACAATTTATTTGTCCTGCCCGACCTGTTTACGTGTTCTCAACCTCGCTGATGCACGCGTACAGGTATTTTGAGATGAGTGGCAGGCAGTTTATTTTGTTAGTTAAGTGATCACGAGGCAGGTCGACAATTGCTGCTGACTTCTCAAGTAAACTGTGCGAAGGTGGGGTTTGAGCAAGTTTATGCTTTCCAAAGTGTTCTGTGGAATGGAGTTAATCAAAATGTTTGGATTACGGGGGCACGATGCGGGCTCCTTACTCCCTGCGAACTTGCTGATCTATAAACTTCGAAAGATGCGTACGTGTTAAAAGTCATGCGCTTCTTTTGCGGGAAGTCGTTAAACTTGTACCGGTAACTTCAGCCGAGAAGCATCGTGCTGTAAAGCCCATCGATGGGATTGACGTTTGAAACGCGTCTGAGCGTTAGTAAAAAAAAAAAAGCATTGCTCATCAAACAGATTTTGAGAAATGCCCTGCATAATATTGACATCCGGTCGTCACCCGTCGTTGACTTTCGGTCTTCATTGACACTTGGTATTTGACAAAAGCATGTGACTGGTGTACATCGGATTAGATGAGAAGTATAAATTTTTATTCAGGCCAAATTAAATACTAGAATAGTTTGGTAGATTGACGACCACATGTATAATAATGACCTAATATTATTTGTCCATTGTGCCGGGGGAGAAAAAATCATGCTCCGATAAGACGAGTAATGTTCTTGCTCTGAGCTTTACAGAGAAGTCACAATAGAACCAGAACTGGACAACTTTATAAAACAGTAGAGCTTAATGGAGCAAAACTATCTACAGAATTTTACACTTGCCATTTATGAATGTCAAAAAAAGATGAAGAATAACGTGAATAAAAAATCCCGCAAACTACGTGCATTTAAATACGTAACTTCAATGGGATTATTTACCATGTGATATTCAAAATGTACGATCTGTGGCGCTTGTAATTATACCCTATCATTTTTCTGCTGAATGATCGTATTTGTATTGATGTGCTATGTGCTCACGCAGCTTCCGTAACGTGTTTTGTATTTAGGGCCAGTAGCGACACATGATTAAAGGTAATAGCTTTTAAAATAAAGGGG